AACCGCCAACCTTCTGATCGACAAGTCCTAGGCTCTGTGGTTTAACCCACAGCGCCACCCGCGTCCCACTAAGTTTCCTGTTAGATCATCTGATTGACCCCCGTGGGAACAGGATGTGGCAGTAGATAGGTCTTTTTATGTTATGGATGTTGTTTTTTCAAATATCTGCCACACCGACTGTGGGAGAAACCAGCAGCAGCCACCCAGGGAGGACACCCTGGTCTGTGGGGGCCTAACACGTGGCTGCTTCAATATCCATGAGAATGGCATTTGTTGGAACATTGGAGAACAAGGGGAAGGGGTTCTCGTATATACCTTTGTCCTGCTGTGGCGACTTCTGTATCTACTTTATTGGATTTTATATGTACAGTACACCCGTAATACAAGGGATGCGGGTGGCGCTGTGGTCTAAATCACTGAGTCTCTTGGACTTGCTGATCGGAAGGTTGGCAGTTCGAATCCCTGTGATGGGGTGAGCTCCCGTTGCTCTGCCCCAGCTCCTAGCAGTTTGAAAGCACGCCAGTGCAAGTAGATAAATAGGTACTGCTGTGATGGGAAGGTAAACGGCATTTCCGTGCGCTCTGGCTTCCATCACAGTGTTCCATTGTGCCATAAGCAGTTTAGTAACGCTGGCCACATGACCCAGAAAGCTGTCTGTGGACAAACGCCGGCTCCCTCGGCCTGAAAAGCAAGATGAGTGCTGCACCCCATAGTCGCTTTTGACTGGACATAACTGTCCAGGGGTCCTTTATAAACCTTTTCCTTTTTTCACACCTGTAATTTATGCAGGGGTTATGTTCCAGGAATCGCGCCTAAATCCAAAATCACATATCCTATCTATCTATCGTATCTATCTATCTATGGTGGGTGGGAATGTCGTTTTCCCTCTCTCTTTTTTGCCACAAACATAAAGCTGAATGCACACAAGTTAAATGTGTGCAAGATGCGTACTTACCTTATTCTAAACTGCCTTGAGGACTTTGGTCAGTAGGCAGGGTATAATTCATTTATTGCTTAGAATGTTGTTTTTATTCCAGACACTCCAGATCTTGGACAAGATGGACTGTTTCAAGAGGTGGCAAAAGGATATATCCAAGTTTGTCTGGCAGGGCAAAAAGCCCAGAATAAACTTTAAGATTTTAACTGATGCAAAAGATAGAGGGGGGTTTGCCCTGCCGGACCTGAGACTTTATTATGAATCGGCAGCGTTCTGCTGGTTGAAACAATGGCTGCTTCTTGAGAACACAGACATTTTGGATCTGGAAGGGTATGACAATAGATTTGGTTGGCATGCATATATATGGTATGACAAGGTAAAAATACATAAAGGTTTCAAAAACCATATTGTCAGGAAAGCACTATACAATGTTTGGATAAGATACAAAGATCTACTGGAAGGTAAAACTCCCAGGTGGCTATCACCAATGGAAGCTAAAGAGACAAAAAAACTTAATATGGAGTCCAAATGGCCAAAATATTGTGAAATCTTAGAGCAAGATGGTGAAAGGGTTAAATTACAGAGTTATGACAAATTGAAGTCTAAAGTACGAGATTGGTTGCATTACCTTCAGATAAACGAGGTATTTAAACAGGACAGGAAAATAGGTTTCCAGATGGAGAGGTCGAAATTAGAAACAGAATTGTTAGAACCCAATACTAAGAACTTGTCAAGAATGTATAATTTGCTGCTGAAATGGAATACACAAGATGAAACAGTAAAATCAGCTATGATCAAATGGGCACAAGACATAGGTCATGACATTATGTTTGATGACTGGGAAAGGTTATGGAACACTGGTGTTAAGTTTACGGCTTGTAATGCCTTGAGAGAAAACATAATGAAAATGATCTATAGGTGGTATATGACCCCAGTCAAACTTGCAAAAATTTACCATTTGCCCAATAATAAATGTTGGAAATGTAATGAGACTGAAGGTACTTTCTATCACCTTTGGTGGACCTGCCCGAAGATTAAAGCCTACTGGGAAATGATCTATAATGAAATTAAAAAGGTCCTTAAATGGACATTTTCTAAAAAACCAGAGGCTTTTCTCCTGGGCATGGTGGGCCAATTGGTGCCAAGGAAGGACAGAGTTTTTTCATGTATGCTACCACAGCAGCAAGAATTCTTCTAGCAAAGTATTGGAAGACGCAGCAGCTACCCACTCTGGAAGAATGGCAAGCGAAGGTGATTGACTACATGGGAATGGCAGAGATGACCGGCAGAATCCGTGATCAGGGGAGTGAGACAGTGGAAGAAGATTGGAAGAAATTTAAAATATATCTTAAAAACTGTTGTAATATTGAGGAGTGCTGAGATGTTATGGTGTTAAGATACAGAGAATTGCAGCTGTAAATCATAAATTTAAGGAAATTATAATGAAGATGAGTTAATTAATTAAATGGAGGGTTGCTGTGAAAAGGTAAAAATAAGGATGCAGAAAAAGGGAGGTATGGGGAAGTCCGGGAAGTAAGGTGAAGGAAAATAAGTTTATGAAATTATACATGTTTATTTGTTTGTATGTTTTGTTCTGTTTTATTGTTTGTTTTTAATACATGTTTGGAAAATTAATAAAAATTATTTTAAAAAATAATAATAATTCATTTATTGCTTAATTAATTTTTTTATACTGCCCTTCACCTGAAGATCACCGGGTAGTTCACCAGGATAGGGGTATAAATACTCCTAAACAAAGAAACAAACTTTTATTTTCATACTTTGCCTGCACAAAAATGTTATCCTCAAAGAAGGAAGTGTAAAGTGACAGAACAGCAGAGAGACACAAGGGTTATTTTTAGATGCATGGGAGTGGAGTATCTACTGAATAACGAGGAAATTACAAGCATAATTTCGAAAGTTTGACATTTCACATTGTTTTCTTTTTGGCAAGATGACTTGAGATCCATTTTACAGTGGTACCTTGGTTTGCAACCATTTTGGATTACACCCACATCAAACCCGGAAGTGTGTGTCCCTTTTTTTGGATTACAACCCATTTTTTTATTATTACAACCCATTTTTTGGGGGGAGACGCCATTGGCGAAGGCACGCCTTGGATTACAACCTGTTTTGGTTTACAACCGGACCTCTGGAACAGATTATGGTTGTAAACCAAGGTACCACTGTACTTCGAAAGAGTGAGGCCAAGAAGGAGGGGTGAATGTGGCTTGAGGAAGAAATCAAGGGGCCCACTGATACCCTGGGTTCATGGTTCACATTTATACTACAGAAGGGATGGAAAACTTCTGGCTCTCCAGAGGCCAATGGACTACAACTCCCATCATCCCATTCTGCCAGAGGCTGATGGGAGTTGTAGTTCAGCAAACACCTGGAGGGCCCCCATTTCCCAACTTCTGTACTAGAGGGGAGAGCGCTTGGTTTAAAAGGTTATTCTTTCCCACCTGTGCACTTCTGTTTGGCCAAAATCAAGAGAGGCAATCAGGACAGACTGGCGCCTGGTGCCACCACACCCTCAGTCACCAGCGGCAAACAAAGGTCCTTTGAGCTAAGGGCAGCACTGCCAAGTGTGTGTCACATAGAAACCATATATCTTATTCTGTTTACATCTGCAATCTACATCTCCAAGGGCTTAGAGGAGATGCCAATAATTCAGAAAGCAAGCACATACATTTTACTATCAATTGAAAACAGGTGCTAACACTCTGCCCCACCCCCTGGCCGTGGCTGGTATCACCATCAAAAGCTATAATTTAATGTTCATTGTGGCAGACTTGTTTGTGATACCTCGGTGACACGTCTGCAAGCTTAATAAGCTCACGTCTAGAAGCACCTCAAGTTCTGTAATACATAACTAAGTTATGTGTGCATTGCAACAGGGCAAGTCTTGACCTGCCTTTTCAAGGTGGAATGGTATTGTATGTACACACCAAGCACAGAAGTGATCTATATATCAAAGATGCGTGCGCGTTTTTAAAGTAATTTTTATTATCGTATTCCAAACAGAAAAAACAAAAACATAAGGACTCATATAAAAGATACCCCCCAACGCATTCGACAAACACACGACAAAACAAAAAAGCGTTCCCTCAATGTAATCCTTAAGTGACATGCTTGCTTTGTACTTATTTGAACAAGAGGCAGGCTGGTGACCAGAACAGGTAGCTTGATAGATTTGTAGTTATTTAATGGTATATTCCTTAATAGCTTACCGTTGGGCAGAATGCGGCCTCCATATTTCCCCTCATATATTCACAAGTTAAGTTGAGAAACCCGCTTTTGAAATGAAAGCAGAAAATGCAGAGAGTGGAGGTGGGTGGATTAGTCCTGCGGCCACAGCCCTGAAATGACCTGCCGGTGAGCAGTTTAAGGTTTCCTGTTAGCCAATTCAGTTGCAGTAGGGCCGATATGACTGTCCTCCAGAGCACCTCTCTAGGGGTGATTGCAGCGTCACATAAATTACACATGGCAAGACACAGCTCCAATATTGCACAGGCCCTCCTCTGGCGCCAATACCACACAGCGGCCTCCTGACCTTTCCTGTGCCGTGACTGACGTTAACTTGCACCGCACTATCATTTCCACGGCAACCGTTTCCATAACCGCTGTGCAAGATGAGGCCTAGCCGGTGGAGCAGCCTCCAACTCGGCCAAGTTTGGCTGCTCTTTTTCGTGGCGTTGGGACTCAAAAGGCCCCGGACTTCCTTAGCAAGCAGAGCAGCCTCTCCTTTAGCTTAGGACACTGAGTTTGGACCTTCCTTTTCACATCTGCAGACCTAAAAAGATAAAGGTAAAGGGACCCCTGACCATTAGGTCCAGTCGTGGGGTTGTGGCGCTCATCTCGCTTTATTGGCCGAGGGAGCCGGCGTACAGCTTCCGGGTCATGAGGCCAGCATGACTAAGCCGCTTCTGGCGAACCAGAGCAGCGCATGGAAACGCCGTTTACCTTCCCGCCGGAGCGGTACCTATTTATCTACTTGCACTTTGACGTGCTTTCGAACTGCTAGGTTGGCAGGAGCAGGGACTGAGCAATGGGAGCTCACCCCGTCGTGGGGATTCGAACCGTCGACCTTCTGATTGGCAAGCCCTAGGCTCAGTGGTTTAAACCACAGCGCCACCCGCGTCCCATCCGCAGACCTAGCAGGCTGCAAACCTAGGTTCTGTAATGGAGGGAGAGCCCCATTTCACAACCCCACACGTTCTCCACCGGGATGCGCCTCTCTCCTCAAGCGCAGCTCGGCCTGCGCAGTTTGGGATGAGGAGCGAAAGGGACCAGGGAGCTGGCAAACTTCTCCGTGGCTGACCTCCAAGGCTGATGCCTCTGGCTCCGCACGGCTTTCTTCCTCTCGGCCTTGAGCAAGCGGCACACCAGGGCCTTAGCGCTGGCGCGGAGCCATCTTGGGGCCGAGCTGGAAGGGCCCTGAAGCACCCTGACCAGCCCTGGCAGTTCCTGAGGCAGCCGGTATCGAGGAAGGAAGTGCAAGGCCCGGGGGATGTTGCGCTGGCCGCACAGTTTGCTGAAGTAGGCGATGACCCAGTCGCCCTTTCCTCGCAGGGTCCCGGGTGCCCCCTGCAGTTCGCCTTTCAAGCAGGCCATGGCCGCCCCAAACAGGTCGTGGGGCTCCGGTGCCTTCGCTCCGCCGCGCCTGGAGGCCTTCCCTTGCCACAGCCCATAGGCGCGGGCGCTGCCGACGCTCCACAGTAGCAGGACCTGGCCCTGCTCCCGGCTGACTTGCTCTCGCTGGGCGTACACCCAGGGCAAGATGCCCAGCCGCCCCACGTGGCCCAGCTCCCAGAGGTCCAAAAGCACGGGGCAGCCCAGGGCCGAGCGCAGCAGCGCCGCGAAAGCACACACCAACTGCTTGTGCTCCTCCGAGTCGGGGGAATAGATCAGCAGGATGGGGCGAGAATGGCGCTTGCCCGGTACGTCTGGGGAGAGAAGGGAGAAAGCGGAATCAGGAATGCTTCTCATACGAAGGTGCTGACCCTTGACAGGGACTTTCGGGTGGTGGCTCCCCAGCTGTGGAATGCCCTCCCTAGTGAGGTGCAACCTCTTTCCGTCCTCATTAATTTTCAGGAGGAATTTGAAAGCGTTCTTGCGTGGCTGAAGGATACTGTTCCTGGCCAACCTTCAAGATCATTGGATAGAAGCAGGGTTTTAATTGATTTTAGAATATTTTAAGCAGAGATTGGGTGGCCATCTGTCATGGATTGCTTTAGTTTTGATTCCTGCACGCCAAATGGGGTTGGACTAGATGACCCTTCCAACTCTATGATTCTGTGATTCCGTTTACGGCTTTTTAGTTGAGTCACAATTGTTTTTAGAACGCTTTTGACTGCTTTAGAATGTTTTTACTTTATTTGTAAAGTTGTCTTATCTCTTTGCCACCACGGGCTCCTTGGGGAGGAAGGGTGTGGCATGAATCCAATATAATAATAATAATAATAATAATAATAATAATAATAATAATAATAATTTATTACACCCCACCCATCTGGCTGGGTTTCCCCAGCCACTCTGGGCGGCTTCCAACAGGAGATTAAAATTACATTAAATCATAAATAATAAAGGTCTTAGGTTCCTCCTAAATGGAGCCTTGCCAACCAACGGATCGCTAAATGAGACTGGATGTAGCAGCACAAACCACCAGCGACTATGAAATATCCCTTCCCAGCAGATCATGGGAATGATAATGCCTGGTGTTTATTCTGTTTCCATCATCCTGTTTTAGCTGAGACAAGGGTCCTGCTCAGAATGCAGTCTGCTCCCAGTTGCACCATGAAATCATAATACAGTCTTATCTTGGGATAAATATGCTTCAGGATAAATATTTTCGGGTTGCTCTCCACGGCGACCCTGAAGTAACGGAGCGCATTACTTCCAGGTTTCGCTGCTCGCGCATGCGCAGATGGTCAAAATGACGTCACGTGTATGTGCAGAAGCGGCAAAACGGAGCCCGTTACTTCCAGGTTTTGCCACTCGCGCATGCGCAGATGGTCAAAATGATGTCACGTGCATGTGCGGAAGCAGCAAAACGGAGCCCGTTACTTCCAGGTTTCGCCGCTCGAGCATGCGCAGATGGTCAAAATGACGTCACGTGCATGTACGGAAGCGGCAAAACGGAGCCTGTTACTTCCAGGTTTCGCCGCTCACACATGCGCAGATGGTCAAAATGACGTCACGTGCATGTACGGAAGCGGCAAAACGGAGCCCGTTACTTCCAGGTTTCGCCTCTCGAGCATGCGCAGATGGTCAAAATGACTTCACTTGCATGTGCGGAAGTGGCAAAACGCGACCCGTGCACTCGCAGACGCGTCTTACGTTTGCTTCAGGATGCGAACGGGGCTCTGGAACGGATCCCGTTCGCATTCAGAGGTACCACTGTACTTCAATGGAGAGCAAATGGAAGCTCTGGCAATGATAAGCTCCTGACTAGAGCAGAAGTGAAAATAAAAGCTGGATGCTGAGAAAAATGAGTCATTAATAGAGAAGGCTTTTAACTGCATATTTGCTTTATGTTGGTACAGAAAAGAGCCTTCTCTGTGGTGGCACCTCCCCAATCGAGATTGGGCAAGCACCAATATTGGATGCTTCTGGCATGCTTTGAAAACATACCTATTTGCCCAGGCATTCCTTGGCCATTAATACCAGTTTTTAGCACCCTAATTATTGTAACTGATGTTAATATTTCACTCATATGTTTTTGAGGGTATTTTTTCGAACTTCTTGGTATACTGCCATTGCTTCTTGGTTGTAAACTGTTTGGGCACTCTGTGGAGTGAAAGGCTGTACAGAAATAATTGAAATGAATTAATAACTTTGTCCTGCCATATTTTTTCACATTGACCCTACACACATTTCCAGGCAATGAAAAAAGTGACCTTCTGCATAAGAGTAGATGGACTAACATTTTTATACACAAATGCCACCACATGGTAAGAATTGTTTTTGTCATTCTCAACCAATCTTTTCTGAAAAACATTCAGGTTTTTCTTATGTTGCTTTATGAATCGTTATGTATACTTACAGTGTTAAACAATAAGAATGACTATAATTTAGGGCAATTCCTAAATTTGCCCCTATCTCAGAGAGAGTTTTTGGACTACAACTCCCAGAAACCCCAGCAAGCATGGCCAATGGTCAGTGTGGGTGGGAGTTGCAGTCCCACAAAAATATTTGCAGGCAACCTCTGCCCTATGTGATGAAATACAGAGGAGGATGCTGCTCTGACAACTGTCTAACCGCACAGGACTGAATTACTAGAGTGCGTTGCGTTTTGGGAGTGGCCGCCGAGGCCATATAACACCAGTCTTGAAAGACCTACATTGGCTCCCAGTATGTTTCTGGGCACAGTTCAAAGTGTTGGTGCTGACCCTTAAAGCCCTAAACAGCCTCGGCCCAGTATACCTGAAGGGGTGTCTCCACCCCCATCATCCAGCCTGGACATTGAGGTCCAGCGCCAAGGGCCTTCTGGAGGTTCCCTCACTGCGAGAAGTGAGGTGACAGGGAACCAGGCAGAGGGCCTTCTTGGTAGTGGCGCCCGCCCTGTAGAAACGCCCTCCCATCAGATGTCAAGGAAATAAGTAACTATCTGACTTTCAGAAGACATCTGAAGGAGGCCTTGTTTAGGGAAGTTTTTAAGGACTAATCTTTTTTCGTGTTTTAATACACCTTGGTTTATAACCATAATCTGTTCTGGAGGTCCAGTTGTAAACCAAAACCAAGGTGTGCTTTCGCCAATGGGGCCTCCCCCAAAAAATGGGTTGTAATCCAAAAAAAGGGATGCGCACTTCCGGGTTTGACGTGGTTGTAATTCAAAGCGGTTGCAAACCAAGATACCACTGTATTCTTTTGGGAGCTGCCCAACAGTGGCTGGGGAAACCCAGCCAGATGGGTGGGGTATAAATAAATAAATCATCATTATTATTATTATTTCAAAGACATTTCCCGCCCTTTCACAAACACACAGTGATAGTTCTTCTCATCTCTCCGATGCTTCTTACCTCTATGAAGCCTGCGCAGAACACAGCGAATTAGCAGAACGGCTGCGACCAGCAGCAACACTAGTCCTAGACTCGCTCCAAAGGCCAGCAGCCCCCAGTGCCTGTGAGTCACTAGTAGGGGGGGGAAAAGGAGGTGAGAAATTAACACAAATTAACAGCAACCTGCACTACCTTTCCATCTGCTCAGGGATCTATGTACGTTGTTTCTCTTTCCATCCAAAACACTCATTCTCTTTCCATCCAAAACTCATTCTCTGAGTGTGGATATTCATGGAGCCAAAATTTGCACCATCCATTCATGCACAAGAGGGAGAGGTAACGCCAGTCTCGGGGGGAACCTCAAGGTATGCGGGAGCACTTTAAAATAAATACATAAATCTAAGGACTCGGACTCTCTCTCTCTCTCTCTCTCTCTCTCTCTCTCTCTCTCTCTCTGTGTGTGTGTGTGTGTCTGTGTGTCAAAGAGAACCAAAACAGACCAATGAGAACTGAACATGCTCAGTGGCCACAAAACGCTGAATGCCTCTTGCAGGGTGGGGGCAGAATGGAGTATTATGGAAGATAGCAGGACTGACGGGAACCTCGCATGAACCAACCCAGATCCCGCATTCATCATCAGAGGTCCTTCTTCGTGTTGTGCACTCTCCAAGACAGGTGTGGAGGGTGGCAACGTGAGAACGGGCCTTTTCAGTGGTGGCTCCGCACTTAGGGAATGCTCTCCCTAGGGAGGCACCGCCTGACACCATCACTGACATGTAGGCTCCAGGCAAGCCCTTTTTTTCTTTTCAACCAAGCTTTTTGTTTTTTTTGTCCTTTTGCTTGGAGTGCCATAAATAATAACAGTATCAACCTGAATGGGAGCACTCCCTACTGCAACCTTTTGTTGCAGGACCCACTTGCCCATCCTAAAATATAAAGTTTTGATGCCGTTTGTTGTGTAGTGAGTTGAATAGGATCCAAAAGGCAGCAGTCTGATTGGTCCTAGAACAATAGGATTCAGAATGCAGCAGTCTGATTGGTCCTAGAACAATAGGGTCTAGAATGCAGCAGTCTGATTGGTCCACAGGAGCCACCCAATCCAGCTCCAGATGGAAGTGAATCCGCAACCTGATTGGCCTACAGGAGAATCCCGGAATTAGCCAATCACATGGGGTCACTTGTGTAAATAAAGTATATAAAGCAGACATTCTGGGGGAACTTCCATTCCTCCTCACCACTATGAGCTGAATAAAGAGCATGAAATCCACTCTCGACTCCAAGTATATTTCACTGTCCCTTCTCTCCATGGTATCTATGTGCTACTAATCCTCTTATGACTAACCCTACTAGGGAGCCTTAGCACTGCAGCAACACGCCTTGAGGACTCCATCCTTCAATGGAGAGTCTTCATTGAGGACTCTCCTTCATTGGAGAGTTTTAAGCAGAGGTTGGATGGTCATCTGTCTTGGATGCTTCATTTGAGATTCCTGCATTGCAGGGGGTTGGACTAGATGACCCTGGGGGTCCCTTCCAACTCTTTGTGAAATATACTCAGAGTCGCAAAGTGATTTCATGCTCTTTATTCAGCTCATAGTGGTGAGGAGGAATGAAAAGCCCCCCCAAAGTATCTGCTTTATATACATTATTTACACAATGGGCTGCACGTGATTGGCTAATTCCGGAATTCTCCTGCAGGCCAATCAGGTTGTGGATTCACTTCCATCTGGAGCCGGATTGGGTGGCTCCTGCAGACCAATCATACTGCTGCATTGTTCTCGGACCAATCAGACTGCTGCATTCTGAATCCTATTGTTCTAGGACCAATCAGACTGCTGCATTTTGGATCCTATTGTTCTGGGACCAATAAGACTGCTGCATTTTGGATCCTATTGTTCTGGGACCAATCAGACTGCTGCATTCTGAATCCTATTGTTCTGGGACCAATCAGACTGCTGCATTTTGGATCCTATTGTTCTAGGACCAATCAGACTGCTGCATTTTGGATCCTATTCACTCAGTACATAACACTTTGATTCTATGTTCTCCCAGAGGGTACTGATATTTTCCCCATTCGCTGGCTGACAAAACAGGTTCCCCATCCCTGCCTGCACAAAAGAACAAGTGGTATGTGCACTACAACCTGCCTCTGTCTACTACAAGATCTAGAACATCTAGTTCTGACTCATTACTCTTTCCAAGAAGACTTTTCACTGTTCCACATTTAGCTGGGGCCATGGGCGTAGCCAAGGGAGGGGGTGCAGGCAGGGAGGGGCAGCTGCTCCCCCCCCCAAATCAATAAAAGTACATAGCTAACTGAGGCTCTGCCACTCCTAACAAAAATCATGGCTACGCCCATGGCTGGGACCCAGCAAAAACAACCAGGCAACCTCACGCAAGGGATGAGACATGCAGCCACTCCCCACAATGGGGCAAGGTGCTGTTCCTTAAATCCCTCCCACTCCCAACCCAACACAGGATGGCAGCTTACCATCTGGGCACAGAAGCTGTTTGCCAGCGAAGCGCACATCAGAACGCCAGACCTGACAAACCAGAAGGAGAGAGAAGGCAGGACGCTTGAAACTGGTTTTAGTGACACAAGACCGCACTGTATACAAGTTGTACAAGTGACAATAAAGTATTTCGATTTCAAATTCAGCAGCTCGCACGTTTTGCAGCTGTCAAGCGGTCGGCCAGTGGTGCCGGTCTCTGGCATCGAGCCCCACCTACTGCTGAAACTGTTCTCTACCGAGCAAGGTTCTACTCAAAGTCAACAAAAGAGGTTTAAAGACTCTCCCAAGGCAAATCTTTAAAAGATGTAGTATAAACACTGTCCTGCGAGCGCACCAATTGGAGATCAGCCTTTACCGAAGGTGTCATGGGCTTTGAAGACACTCGAACTCAGGAAGCAAGGGAGAAACGTGCTAAGAGGAAGGCATGGTTGGCAAACCCTCACCGTGATCAACTCCCACCTGTCCCCAATGTGGAAGGACGTGTGGATCCAGAATTGGCCCCCACTGTCACTTACGGACTCTCTGTTAAAACCGTGCTTATGGAAGACAATCTTACTCGGCTACAAGTGATCACCAAAGAAGAAGAAGACACAAACTAGACCCACTGGAGTTAATTAACTTAAGCTAACCACCATATTTTTCGCTCTATAAGATGCACCAGACCATAAGACGCACCTAGTTTCTTTTCTAGTTTTCCTAGGAGGAAAACAAGAAAAAAAATATTCTGAATCTCAGAAGCCAGAACAGCAAGAGGGATTGCTGCGCAGCGAAAGCAGCAATCCCTCTTCCTGTTCTGGCTTCTGGGATAGCTGTGCAGCCTGCATTCGCTCCATAAGACGCACACACATTTCCCCTTACTTTTTAGGAGGGAAAAAGTGAGTCATATAGAGCAAAAAAATACGGTATGGTCTGTTAACTCCAAGGTGACTCCTCTGGGCAGGACTAGTGGTGGATACAATCCAATGTACAGTGGTGCCTCTGGTTACGTACTTAATTCGTTCTGGAGGTCCGTTCTTAACCTGAAACTGCTCTTAACCTGAAGCACCACCTTAGCTAATAGGGCCTCCCGCTGCCACCGCGCGATTTCTGTTCTCATCCTGAAGCAAAGTTCTTAACCCAAGGTACTATTTCTGGGTTAGCGGAGCCTGTAACCTGAAGCGTCTGTTACCCAAGGTACCACTGTATACAGTGGTGCCCTGCAAGACGAATGCCTCGCAAGACGGAAAACCCGCTAGACGAAAGGGTTTTCCGTTTTGGATGTGCTTCACAAAACGAATTTCCTATGGGCTTGCTTCGCAAGACGAAAATGTCTTGCGAGTTCCTGCAGGTTTTTTTTCCTCCCCCCCCCTTTTTCCCAAGCCGCTAAGCCTCTTATCAGCTGATCCGCTAAGCCGCTTAACAGCTGTTCCGCTAAGCCGCTAAACAGCTGATCGCTAAGCCGCTTAACAGCTGATCGCTAAGCCGCTTATCAGCTGATCCGCTAAGCCGCTAAGCCGCTTATCAGCTGATCCGCTAAGCCCGCTAAGCCGCTAATAGCGCTAATCCGCTAATGGGCTTGCTTCGCAAGATGAAAAATCCGCAAGACGAAGAGACTCGCGGAACGGATTCTTTTCGTCTTGCGAGGCACCACTGTATTACAATACAGGGTGGGGTGGGACTTAGGGTGGTCCTTACCAGTACACAGCTTGTCAAGGCCCGCCAAGGAAGGATGAGGTCCAAGTCTTCCAGGCTTGATCTCTCCAGCTGCAAAACATAAGGGTGAGTAGGACATGAGGCCCAGTCCTCTGCCTCGCTCCAGGGAAAAAATGCAGCCCATTTACCGCACCTTCCCTCACCCATCGTAGAATTGTAGAGTTGGAAGGCACCCCAAGGATCATCTAGTCCAGCCTCCCTTGCAATGCAGGAATCTCAGCTCAAGCATCCACGACAGATGGCCATCCAACCTCTGCTTAAAGGTAAAGGTAAAGGTACCCCTGCCCGTACGGGCCAGTCTTGCCAGACTCTAGGGTTGTGCGCTCATCTCACTCTATAGGCCGGGAGCCAGTGCTGTCCGCAGACACTTCTGGGTCACGTGGCCAGCGTGACAAGCTGCATCTGGCGAGCCGGCACCAGAGCAGCGCACGGAAACGCTGTTTACCTTCCCGCTGGTAAGCGGTCCCTATTTATCTACTTGCACCCAGGGGTGCTTTCGAAGTGCTAGGTTGGCAGGCGCTGGGACCGAACGACGGGAGCGCACCCCGCTGCGGGGATTCGAACTGCCGACCATGCGATCGGCAAGTCCTAGGCGCTGAGGTTTTACCCACAGCGCCACCCGCGTCCCAATCAACCTCTGCTTAAAAACCTCCAAAGGAGGAGAGCCTATCACCTCCCGAGGGACTTCGTTCCACTGTCAAACAGCTTGTGCCGTCAGAAAAATCTTCCTGATGTTTAGCCGGAATCTCCTTTCTTGTAACTTGAAGCCATTGGTTCGAGTCCTACCCTCCAGAGCAGGAAAACACAAGCTTGCTCCGTTTCCCATGTGACAGCCCTTCAGATATCTGAAGATGGCTATCGTATCTCCTCTCGGTGTTCTCTTTTCCAGGCTGGACATACCCAGCTCCTTCAGCTGTTCCTCACAAGTCTTGGTTTCCAGACCCTTGATCATCTTGGTTGCCTTCCTCTGCACATGTTCCAGCTTGCCAATATCCTTCTTAAATTGTGGTACCCAGGTGCAGTCTGACCAAGGCAGAATAGAGCAGTACTATTACTTCCCTTGATCTGGACACTATGCTTCTTTTGCCAGAGTGGTGCATGCTCTAGTTATCTCCCGCTTGGACTACTGCAATGCAGTCTACGTGGGGCTACCTTTGAAGGTGACTCGGAAACTGCAATTAATCCAGAATGCGGCAGTTAGACTGGTTACTGGGAGTGGCCACCGAGACCATATAACACCGGTCCTGAAAGGTCTTCATTGGCTCCCAGTATGTTTCCAAGCACAATTCAAAGTGTTGGTGCTGACCTTTAAAGCCCTAAACGGCCTCAGTCCAGTATACCTGAAGGAGCATCTCCATCCCCCATCATCCAGCCGGAAACTGAGGTCCAGCACCGAGGGCCTTCTGGCAGTTCCTTCGCTGCAAGAAGTGAGGTTACAGGGAACCAGGCAGAGGGTCTTCTTGGTAGTGGTGCCTGCCCTGTGGAACGCCCTCCCACCAGATGTCAAAGAGAAAAATAACTACCAAACTTTTAGAAGACATCTGAAGGCAGCCCTGTCTGGCACTGTATTGTTTTTAATATTCGGCTGGAAGCCACCCAGAATGGCTGGGGAAACCCAGCCAGATGGACAGGGTATAAATATTATTATTATTGTTATTATTATTATTAATAATAATAATGCAGCCTAGAATAGGATTCACTTTTTTTGCTGCTGCATCACAGTGTTGACTCATGTTCAGCTTGTGGTCCACTAAGACCCCCTAGATCCTTTTCACATGCACTACTGGCAAGCCAGGTGTCCCCCATCTTATATTTGTGCATCTGGTTCTTCCTGCCTAAGTGCAGAACCTTACATTTGTCTCTTCTGAAATTAATTTTGTTGGTTTGGGCCAGTCCAGGTGGATCCCAACCCAAGTTAACCCTCCTCCTCTCCAGCTCCAAAAGTCACTTACATGGGTGATGGTATAGACAGGCGGCTCAGGCTCACACTGGTGCGGAGATTGCTTCTGACAAAAGGCCGAGCTGAAGGATGCTGGTGCACGAGAATGAAAATGCAAGTGGAGCTGCCACGGTTTGACACTCATAGATACATTCCAGGCAGTGTCTAGGAAGAAAGACCGGCACCAAGTTGTTCTAATGTCTCAGACCTTTTTAGGCATATGTTTGCACTTTAAGCAAAAAATTAATTCTTACAAACTCTTAGGCGCATCTGATATGTGTGTGAGCGCGGCATCGCGCTGAACCCAGAAGTGACCTGGAAACGTCACAATAACTGCACAGAATAGGGCAGAACAGGGTGGAGGTGAAATGGGGTGTTTCAAGGCTTTTCCAATGGTGTTTCGAATATACGCGATTTCACTTAAACGCACGGGGCCTTGGAACGTAACCCCTGCGTAAGTCGGGAGTTGCCTGTATAGCAACATCATACACGCATAAAATATATCCCAGAAGGTGGAGTTTAGGCAACGCATCCAAATCAACATGGGTCTTCAGAAAACTAAAGCAGGGGCAAGTGGAAAAACCCTAGATAGGTATCCTGGCACCCTTGCAGTTAGTTCAGTGCTGCCTACAGTAGGCTGTATTTCCACTACTTTGCCACATGAGGGCGCAATTGCGTTTCAGTGTTAACAATGCAATCACAGCTCTTCCCGATTAAAGGAAACAAGTGACAAGACTGCTCAAAACTAAGCAGGAACATTTAACTTTAAAATCCACATAACAAGCCATTCTGTTTTCACAAAACAACGTTGGGGCAAGAATCTTCACGTTGCTTTAGACTGACTACAAACACCAGGGAAGTCTTTTGTTTCAACCGTTCATTGTTTATGGTCAACATGTTTTCTGCCAGTTAAGAGGACCGTGCATTTACGCCATGGGTAGCAAACTAAGGCCCGGGGGCCAGATCCGGCCCAATTGCCTTCTAAATCCAGCCCATGGACGGTCCAGGAATCAGCGTGTTTTTACATGAGTAGAATGTGCGCTTTTATTTAAAATGCATTTCTGGGTTATTTGTGGGGCATAGGTATTCGTTCATTTTTTTTTCTTTTCAATGTATAGTCTGGCCCCCCACAAGGTCTGATGGACAGAAAACCGGCCGGGTGCTGAAAAAGGTTGCTGACCCCTGCTCTATCCTCTTCCTTAAAACGGTAAAGGAACCCCTGACCCTTAGGTCCAGTCGCGAACGACTCTGGGGTTGCAGTGCTCATCTCGCTTTATTGGCCGAGGGAGCCGACGTACAGCTTCTGGGTCATGTGGCTAGCATGACTAAGCCGCTTTTGGTGAACCACAGCAGCGCATGGAAATGCCATTTACCTTCCCGCCGGAGCGGTACCTATTTATCTACTTGTACTTTGCTGTGCTTTCGAACTGCTAGGTTGGCAGGAGCAGGGACCGAGCAACGGGAGCTCACCCCGTCGCGGGGATTTGAACCGCCGACCTTCTGATCGGCAAGCCCTAGGCTCTGTGGTTTAACCCACAGTGCCACCCGCGTCCCATCCTCTTCCTTAGTGTTCCCTTTATAGGCCTTAGCATGGCAGAGAATGGAAAAAAAGCCGAATCAATTGGCTCTGCCTGTCAATTTCTCTGGCTCCATCTACTGTCGGCCCCCTTGCCTTCCGCCCTACCAGTCCCAACGAGCACCAGCCTCCACTGACAGCTGAGCAGCAATGAGACGACCTGCTTCTGAGTGCTGTTGTGATGGGAAAGGAATGTACAGACACGGGTAGAGAAAACAGCTTTGGGTCCGTGCTTGCAACCCTAATGAGCATGATCTCTGGTTCAGTGAGAAGGAATCGCCTCCCTTGCCCCAGTCACCACCTCCCCATCATCCTACGATACCAAACCAGCAGCTTTGAGCTGCAGACTCACCTGTCCGGAGTGGGCACTGAATGTGGCTGCTGTTTTTGTAGGAAAACTAGAAAAGACAGACAGCAAAGACACTGGATCACTGGAAGAGCTGGGGCTGGTGAAACCAAACCAGCACCTCATACTCACAGAATGAAAGAACTGCAAAATCAGCAGGAGTCCTCAATTCTAGCCCCCTGCCTTCCTTCAGGAGGGGATACAACAAATATCTTTAGCGGGAAAGAAATCCCACACCTCCATTCCTCCAGTGACGGACAACCTTGAATGCATTCATACCTTAGATCCCGAATGCCTTGCGAGTTTTGGCTCCCGAATGCTGCAAACCTAGAAGTGATTGTTCTGGTTTGCAAATGTTCTTTGGAACCTGAACATCCGACGCGGCTTCCGATTGGCTGTAGGAGCTTCCTGCAGCCAATCAGAAGCTACACCTTGGTTTCCAAACATTCTGGAAGTTGAACGGACTTCCAGAACGGATTCTGTTCGACTTCCAAGGTACCACTGTACAGGACTTGAACTGATCTCATCGATCAAGCCAACTTAAAACTAAAACCATCAAGTATTTGTCCAAACCTGCTCTTATAAAAGACATGGGGAGCTGCTTTTTAACGAGTCTAACCATTGATCCATCTTGCTCACTACTGTCTACAATGGCTGGGAAATGGCCTTCCGGGATTTCACACCCCTTCTAGCCCTACTTGGAGATGCTGGGGATCAAACCTACAAAGCAGTAGGTGCTGTACCGCTGAGCCACACCCCTGACCTCCAGCAGTGAAGATTCCGCGGCACTCCTGAAAGCAACCTGTCCCAGTGCACCAACACCCAGTCAGTCAGTCGCTAGGACAGCATGGCTGTAGCTCAGCGGCAAACGCAGAAAGTCCCAGGTTCAGTCCTTGGCATTTGCAGACCAGGGTGAGAATATCCTCTGTCTGAAACCCTGGAGAGCCGCTACCAGTCGGTGCAGACAATGTGGAGGTAGAAGGACCTATGGCGTGATGACTCAGTGGAAGGCAACTTCCTATGTGCCTAAGTTCTTCCCAATGTCCTAAGTGAATTCTTGTGCTTGCAGTTTTAAGCCCACGACTATGGCTCATCTAGAGCCCCTAAGACTGCAGACCTTGAGAATCAGCCCCATGTACACTGTAAACAACTAAAAACTTCAGAAGGATTTGGATAACGTTTGTAATGTACTAAAAACTAAGGTAAAATGGGATTCTATAAGAAAAATAGGGGAAATAAGTGAAGCAGTGGCAAAAGATTGAAAATGGTAACCATGGAAGCGTGGAGGGGAGTCAAAGGATTCAGGGAATCCTCAATGATGTTGTTTATTGTTTGAATTTAAATTTGAAATGTAAAACTCAATTAAAATAAGATTTATAAGAGAGGCAGCCCCATAGGACTCTGTGTAACTTCTTCCTGAGTCAACCTTCATATGACTGCACTGCACATTACAGGGTCTGTCTTCCTTTATGCTTTTGAAGGCTTATCAAGTGCAACCTTTTTCATACTCTACGACGTATGGAAAGAAGAAGAGTTTGGATTTGATATCCCGCTTTATCACTCTCCTTCAGGAGTCTCAAAGCGGCTAACATTCTCCTTTCCCTTCCTCCCCCACAACAAACACTCTGTGAGGTGAGTGAGGCTGAGAGACTTCAGAGAAGTGTGACTGGCCCAAGGTCACCCAGCAGCTGCATGTGGAGGAGCGGGGAATCGAACCCGGTTCACCAGATTACGAGACTACCGCTCTTAACCACTACACCACACTGGCTCTCACTGCTGGAAAAACCCCAGCAGGGACTGAGAGCTCATCTGTACCTTGGACATTCTATGCATGGGACAAGCCGAGATGAGCCTTGAGAGGACATGCCTTGGTTGAGGACCAGCTTGTCTAGATCAGGGCACGCAAGAACAGAAGTGAAGTTCACTTTTTTTAAAAGCACACAAACATCTACATCCCAATGCTATCTACAGGTGAACCTCAAAAAAAAAAAAAAAAGAATATTGTGGAAAAGTTCCTTTATTTCAGTCATTCAACTTGAAAGGTGAAACTAATATATGAGATTGACTGATAACATGCAAAGCGAGATCTGCTTCTACTTCTCAGAGGTCCAATCTTACTCCATTTGCAATGCTTGTTTTGCTGATTTCATTGAATATTCTCATTTTCTGAGATGGTTCATCTGGGGTTTTCATCAGCTGTACGCCATGATCATCACAATGGTAACAAAGGAGAATGTTAGCTGCTTTGAAACTCCTGAAGGCGAGTGAAAGGCGGGATATCAAATCCAAAGAAAGGCTTGACATATCTTGCTTGGCATTCATGAGTCTATCTCATATATTAGTTTCACCTTTGAAGTTGAATGACTGAAATCAATGCACTTTTCCACGATATTCTAATTTTTTGAGTTTCACCTGTACTAAATCCTATAATGATAATGCAACTCCCAAGCTTTCCGTTGCTCTCCTGAGACTGTGCAGAGTCCAGATGGCTGCAAGTGGCAACAGTTTTGGGCAGAAAAGATTTGGCACTAGGTAACTGACTTGCCAGTGTCCAGTGCGAGTAGCGACTGGGAAGCAGGCCTCACCTTGAAGCAGAGCCGAGGGTGAACATCCACCTCCTCAAGGATGTACTCCTAGAGAAAGAAAAAAACACGTGAGGATAATCTTGATTGTTTATTTGCAATATCCATCTATCGCTTAGCATGCAAGACCTCTAAGCAATAAGGCGCAATAAGATCATTTCAAAAACACTCCATTATTTTCTCTCCTATATCAGTTTCCACAACTCAACATGGCAAGGGTGAGGGAATCTGTGACTTTTCAGATGTTGTTGGCATCCAACTCCCGCCCACTCCAGCGAACAGGGCCGACAGATTGACGTTTGCTGCAATTCAGCATTGAAGGGAAGCGTTCTAATGAATAATGTTTTATTATGTTTTTATATATGTTGGAAGCTGCCCAGAGTAGATGGGGCAACCCAGTCAGATGGGCAGGATGCAAATAATAAAAATTATTATTCCTTGGAAAAAGAAGAAGAAGAGGAGGAGGAGGAGGAGTTTGGATTTGATATCCCGCTTTATCACTACCCTAAGGAGTCTCAAAGCGGCTAACACTCTCCTTTCCCTTCCTCCCCCACAACAAACACTCTGTGAGGTGAGTGGGGCTGAGAGACTTCAAAGAAGTGTGACTGGCCCAAGGTCACCCAGCAGCTGCATGTGGAGGAGCGGGGAATCGAACCCGGTTCCCCAGATTACGAGACTACCGCTCTTAACCACTACACCACACTGGCTCTCCACACTCACCACACTGATGTGTTTCAAGGCTTCGTGTATGTGACGTAATACATGGCGTTGGTATGGAAATGTTGCAAAGCCTGCTATTACTGCATATTCTATTGCCTATCAGCCATTGTGTGTAATTTGATCTAGGATTAAATTCTTGCATGTGCAAGTTACAGAAATATATTATGCTCGTCTAAGACCTTGGCCTCTCTCTCCCTCTGCATTGGTCACAGAATAATTCTGGAATGCCAAGGAAGGCACTTTGAATACCACCTATGACCAGTGTTTCCTGAACACCATTTTCCCCCAGCACAGAATTTGAAGATTTTCCGGGCACAGAATTCCAGACCCCTCAGCAGTGGCAGTAGGCCAGGCCTGTATTTATTCTAGCCATGTCTTACCTAATTGGTTGTTAGGGATTAAAAGGCTTTTGTTGATGCTCAGCACCCCGCCAGGAATGGTTTCCAGCGAAACAAGCACCCGGCGGCCGCTCTCTGCTGGTTCACCAGATTACGAGTCCGCCCCTCTTAACCACTACGCCACGCTGGCTCCCAGCACAAAAAAGCACAGGGCAAGTGGGAAACTGCTTGGACCTGTGCTTTCAAGGCACAAAACAAGTGGACGTGTTGACAAGCCCTAACGCTTCCTCCAGTTCAGCCATCCTTTAAACACCCCAGTCTCCCCTCTTTTGCTCTTTACAGTGGGCAAGGAGCACCAATACGTATTTACCCTTAATGGGGACATACTGCTAAGCCTGAACCACTTGCCTGTGCAAACAGGCTTGCCAGTCTTTGGTGGCTCAAAGGCATCAAGCAATGATTCGGCAGCTAAATATCTCTCCACGTGCCTCTACTGCTCCCTTTCCCTACCCTGCTGCGGCAAAACCAAGCTCTACCACAAGCAGGCAGGGAAGGCAGGGATCAGTTCCGAACGAACGTCACCCTAAGAGCATCATTGGATCCTACCCGTTACCACCCCAGCAAGCTCCTAGTATGACCGCCCCACGCTTTCACCTGACGTAATCCTGTGACTGTGGAGTTGGGGATGTCTTGACAGGCCGCACCCGGAGTGGCGCTTTCTTTCCAGCACAGGGAAGCATTGGGATGAAGCAGGCAGCGGCCGCTCAGAGACATAGCCATTTCAGCCTTGCCGCTGTTGCTGTAGTCGCGAAACTCCACCGAGGACCACAGATCTGGACCATCTAGAAGAGAGGCAGCAGCGGGGGGGGGGGGGTGTAAATATGATTAGACTGTTGAGTCTCCAACAGACAGTGATACCTTATAACAGGGATGAGGAACCTGTGGCCCAGTGTATGCTGTTGGAACCAGGCAGAGGGCCTTCTCGGTGGTGGCACCCGCCCTGTGGAACACCCTCCCATCAGATCTCAAGGAAATAAACAACTACCTGACTTTTAGAAGACATCTGAAGGCAGCCCTGTTTAGGGAAGTTTTTAATGTTGGATGTTTTATTGTATTTTTAATATTTTGTTGGATGTGGCCCACAGTGGCTGGGGAAACCCAGCCAGATGGGTGGGGTATAAATTATTATTATTAAAGGTATAGGTAAAGGGACCCCTGACCATTAGGTCCAGTCGTGACCGACTCTGGGGTTGCAGCGCTCATCTCGCTTTATTGGCTGAGGGAGCCGGCGTACAGCTTCCGGGTCATGTGGCCAGCATGACTAAGCCACTTCTGGCAAACCAGAGCAGCCGTTTACCTTCCCGCTGGAGCAGTACCTATTTATCTACTTGCACTTTGACGTGCTTTCGAACTGCTAGGTTGGCAGGAGCCGGGACCGAGCAATGGGAGCTCACCCCGTCGCAGGGATTCGAACCGCCAACCTTCTGATCGGCAAGTCCTAGGCTCTGTGGTTTAACCCACAGCTCCACCTGCGTCCCTATTATTATTATTATTATTATTATTATTATTATTACTACTACTATTATTATTATTACCCAGAACTACCTAGTTCAAGTAGTGCCCTTTAACCACTACATCACATTGGCTCTCTCTTTGTCTGCTGGACTCTTTATTGAATCAAGTAGGTACCTCCAGCAAAACAAAAAACAGGGGGGGGGGGACACACCAATACCACCTCATTTTTACACCCAAGTAAATGTATTAATAGTCTAATGGGCAGAGCTAGAGATCAATTTAGTTATAATAGAAAAGGGGGCTGCATTCTTCCATTAGGGCTAACTAAAGGTAAAGGTAAAGGTACCCCTGCCCGTACGGGCCAGTCTTGACAGACTCTAGGGTTGTGCGCCCATCTCACTCAAGAGGCCGGGGGCCAGCGCTGTCCGGAGACACTTCCGGGTCACGTGGCCAGCGTGACAAAGCTGCATCTGGCGAGCCAGCGCAGCACACGGAAACGCCGTTTACCTTCCCGCTAGTAAGCGGTCCCTATTTATCTACTTGCACCCGGGGGTGCTTTCAAACTGCTAGGTTGGCAGGCGCTGGGACCGAGCAACGGGAGCGCACCCTGCCGCGGGGATTCGAACCGCCGACCTTGCGATCGGCAAGCCCTAGGCGCTGAGGCTTTTACCCACAGCGCCACCCGTGTCCCTATTAACTAACCAGAGAAAAAGCAGTCTGTTCTGCTTCTGCACCTTTAACAGCTCAATGTGCAGAAAACAGCAGATCAGAGCCATCTTTCCCATTGGTGTTAGTGGTTCGTTGCGCCAGGGCGCCGGCCTCTCAGGGGCGCCCCAGCGAGTGGGGGAGCTGCACCCCCTCCCTTGTTTGGGAGTTGCTGGGGGGGGTCGCCGGAGGGATCTTTGCACCATGGCGCCGGATATGCTTCAGATGGCCCTGCAGCAGATGAACATTTCACGGCAAGAAGCTATGCATGCTTGCTAACACCTGCATACCAAGGTCCTCTCAAAAGCACAGGAGCAGAGGCTAGCAAACAAATTTGGCATGCCTGTCCTCCACAGCAGACCTTACCTACCTAAAATAAACACTATTGGCATAACAGCCATTCAGCCCTAGCAGCAACAGAGCTAGACAGCATTGGCAGAGCCCTGCTGTCATCAGACCCGGCCCTGGAATAAAGCAAGACTCACAAGCCTCTCGCTGATCCCAGAAAGGGCACACTTTTTTGCGCAAGCTGTCGTGCTGCTCATGATACGATGCCTAGAACAGAAGGGAGGAAAGTTAGGTCCAAGTTGGCTGCTTCCCAGCCTTGATTCCCTCTGCGGTCCCCAGACAGAGGGCTCCCACCCATGTGCTAAGAGGCACCCAAGGAAAAATGACAGGCAAGCCCATTCTGTCCTGGGGTGTTTCCAGATTGTGGGCTTGGGGTAAGGGGCGCGGGAGGCTTAACACTGTAAATGGGTCGTTCACAAACAAGTCAAATCTGGATGAAATTGGTGGTGGCGGGGAACAATACACTGGACTTTGATGCCAACAAAGCTGCAAAAATTGCATGCATAAGGAGCAAGCATCCCATAATCAACACCCATCTGGAAACATTATTGGATGTTCTGTCCCCTGCCCAGCCCTGGCCACATGGCCACTTTTTGTAGATGGCCTGGAGTGGGTAGGAGGGGCTCTTAAAGGCACAGCCACCCACAAACCTAAGCAAAATCTGCTACAAGACTGAGCCACAGAAGTAAGCCTCAGCTCAGCTCAGGTTCCTCTCCTCCAGCCTTCCCCAACTTGGTGCTCTCCAGTTGCTTTGGACTACAACAGCTGGTGGGAGTCCAAAGCAGTCAGAGGGAACCAGGTTGCAGAAGGCGATTTCAATCCTTCTTCCCCCTCCCAGTTCTGTTTGTGCATCTCCCCGCCCACCCACAAGAGAGACGGTATCTCTCTTTTCTCCTCCCACTGAAAAGTCTTGGAATCGTGGGCCCCTCAACATGATGTGCACGCACCTCGATACATAAGCATGGGAGCAGGCGCTCATACGACAGCAGAGCAGGGTGATGCTTGGAGACCAGAACCTGAGAAGAGGAGAACAGGGCCATCATAACATTGAGGCTCTGGCACAGAATATGTTTGTAATTCTTCTTACTCAACCCGCACATTCCCCTTCATATCCCTTCAGCCTGTTTGTCCTGGCTTTTCCTCCCCCACCCCCCATTATTTTATCGTTTCATTGTTTGTACAGGAAGCAACAGCTCCTTGTTCTTCCTTCCTACTAAAGGTAAAGGTAAAGGGACCCCTGACCATTAGGTCCAGTCGTGGCCAACTCTGTGGTTTTTCCTCCCCCACCCCCCATTATTTTATCGTTTCATTGTTTTGTACAGGAAGCAACAGCCTCCTTGTTCTTCCTTCCTACTAAAGGTAAAGGTAAAGGGACCCCTGACCATTAGGTCCAGTCGTGGCCAACTCTGTGGTTGCGGCGCTCATCTCGCTTTATTGGCCAAGGGAGCCAGCGTACAGCTTCCGGGTCATGTGGCTAGCATGACTAAGCCGCTTCTGGCGAACCAGAGCAGCGCACGGAAATGCCGTTTACCTTCCCGCCAGAGTGGTACCTATTTATCTACTTGCACTTTGACGTGCTTTCGAACTGCTAGGTTGGCAGGAGTAGGGACCGAGCAATGGGAGCTCACCCCATCGCGGGGATTCGAACCGTCGACCTTCTGATCGGCAAGTCCTAGGCTTTGTGGTTTAACCCACAGCGCCACCCGCATCCAATTCTTCCTAGTAGATGGGTCCATTTCTTTTCTTTCCTCCCTTCTTTCTAAATTTATTTGATTTTCAGATTAAAATTTTACAGTCCTATATCAAACATAGACCAAACACTAGATTCCAAGGAATCTCTTGGACTTCCCTCCTTCCCTTTGTGGGTCCTATTGTTAATCATTTCCTCCTGCATCTTTTATGATGAGCCAAATATTTTAGATCTCCATTGTGTCCAAAATTCACCCTTAAACTACAAGTGATATTCCAATCCTACTAACGATTTTAACAGTCTACAATGGTCTTTAAGGTAAGTTATAATTTCCCCCCATTCCTTATTAAAATTTTGGTCTTCCGGATTTCGGCTTCTTCCGGTCATTTGAGCCATTTCGGCGTAATCCATCAACATGATCTGCCATTCTTCTCTGGTAGGGACTTATATCTCCTTTTAGATGGGTCCATTTCTGTTCCTCCTCTGCATCCTTCCCCTCCAAGGTCTCACCTGCTGGTGGAACGGCTGGCCCAGTTCCTCGCACTCCAGAGCCAGCTGGTGGCAGAGGCGTACTGTGATGTCAGGGCCCTCGGTGACAGACACCTCAATAGCCCGTTCTGCTGGCACCCATCTGTGGTGGAACTCTGGAACTTCTGGGGAAGGAAAAGCAGGCTGTGGCAGAGGAGAAATCCCAATCTGGAGCAGGACATTTGGAACGATGATGCGGCAAGTGATGAGGAGTTTTGGATTTGATATCCTGCTTTATCACTACCCGAAGGAGTCTCCAAGCGGCTAACATTCTACTTTCCCTTCCTCCCCCTCAACAAACACTCTGTGAGGTGAGTGGGGCTGAGAGACTTCAAAGAAGTGTGACTAGCCCAAGGCCACCCAGCAGCTGCATGTGGAGGAGTGGAGACACGAACCTGGTTCACCAGATTACGAGTCTACCGCTCTTAACCACTACACCACACTGGCTCTCCACACTCACCACACTGATGTGTTTCAAGGCTTCATGTATGTGAGGTAACACATGGCGTTGGTATGGAAATGTTGCAAAGCCTGCTATTACTGCATATTCTATTGCCTATCAGCCATTGTGTGTAATTTGATCTAGGATTAAATTCTTGCATGTGCAAGTTACAGAAATATATTATGCTCGTCTAAGACTTTGGCCTCTCTCCCCTCTGCATTGGTCACAGAATAATTCTGGAATGCCAAGGAAGGCACTTTGAATACCACCTATGACCAGTGTTTCCTGAACACCATTTTCCCCCAGCACAGAATTTGAAGATTTTCCGGGCACAGAATTCCAGACCCCTCAGGAGTGGCAGTAGGCCAGGCCTGTATTTATTCTAGCCATGCCTTACCTAATTGGTTGTTAGGGATTAAAAGGCTTTCGTTGATGCTCAGCACCCCGCCAGGAATGGTTTCCAGCGAAACAAGCACCCGGCGGCCGCTCTCTGCTGGGAAACAGTCAAATAGCACCTGCCACTGGAGAAGGAAATGCCACAGTGAGAATGGTGCTCACCCAGATCCCCTGCTTGTAAATCATGCTGGAATCTTGGCCTGTCCCAAGCTGGAGTAACCCCCTAACTATTGGCTGCAAGGCTATTGCTCTTAAACAGCAGGAGTCCACAAAACGTACAAGCCAGACTTCACACGCCACTGCATCATCACATCCAGTGCTTTTGGGGGTGTGAGGTGTCACCGCGCATATCTTGGCAATGGAGTGGCAGTTGTGAGTACAAAATGGCTGCCATGCACAGCAAAAAAAAAGGAGAGGTGATGGTATTCCGTGTCAGTCACTACCACCACAAAGAAAGCACTGCTCATATCCATTCAAACCCCTGATCATGGAATCCAGTGGCTTGTGCAGGATCTTGAACATACCAGTTTTCAATTTATAAAAAACCCCCATACATTTCTAGCCCTCATGAATTTAACTTTAAACGGTTGAAGCAAATTATGTTAATTCCCAAGTCTTCTCCATCTGTTAATTGTAGAAAGGAAGTACAGTAGTACCTTGGTTTACGAACTTAATCCATTCAAGAAGTTTGTTCTTAAACCAAAGCATTCTTAAACCAAGGTGTGCTTTCCCATAGTGGTGGGGGACTCAATTTACAAAAGGAACACACTCAACAGGAAGCGGAATATGTTCTGCTTCCAAGGCAAAGTTCACAAACCAAAACACCTACTTCCGGGTTTGCAGCGCTCTTAATCCAAGTTGTTCGTAAACTAAGCTGTTCTTAAACCAAGGTACCACTGTACTTCCACACAGTATTTTCCCACAAGCCTCGCTCGTAAGAGATGGGGTGCCATTCCTCAAGTCTGCCTGAAACTCAACGTCACAATGATCCCTAAGCCTAGAAGAGCATGCAGGTCCTCACTCTGCACAAGCTCAAGGGCATCCCCATTCATTATGAATTTACAAGGAGTTGAGTTGACCACTGAAAGCAAGTTTTTTAGGGTTCAGTCCTGTCCTCTGTACCTTTTCTACTTCAGGACACAGACATCCCTTAGAACACAAAATAAACTCGGTGTCTGGTACATTGCTAGGACTATAAAAGATGGGGGACTGGGAAGCACAGTAAAGTTTCTAAAACCGAGACCAAGGCTGAGGAATCTGTGACCCTCCAGAGGTTACCATACTACAACTCTCAACCACCCCAAGAATTTAGGTTCCCATAAAATTACACGTTGCTCCTACATTTTGCAAAGATGTTGAAAGACACCACTATGAATGAGGAATGAACAAAGACTGGTCGTTTCCCAATGCAATGGTCAAAAATGGGGTTGTGGTGTATATGTTTCCACCTTTCTTTCCTGGCACAGAACTCCTGTGCTGGCAGGCAGAAGTTCTGAAGCTTTTCCCAACATGGAGCTAAAGGAGAACCTAATCAGCTGAATTTCGGCCTTTCGTGCAGCTAATAAACAGAAGGCAGCGACATCCTGTTGAGTGGCGGGAGAGAAGCCTCCCCATCCCAGTCCAACACGTCCATAGGAATGGTGATAACTAACCAAGGTTCCAGCGCCTGCTCTTCTGAAGATCTGAAGCCAGCCAGAGCGTTTGGAACTTATAACCAGGAAATGCAGCTCCAGTCCTTCAATGCCTGAGGTCAGGAAAAAGAGAGAATAGTGTTAAGTTGTGGGTGAACATATCAGACGACACAGCGATTCTTCAAACAGCTCTTGTTTATTCACAGGCCAGAACAGAACTGAACTGAAGGGTTCAGCCAGCCTGCTTATATAGAGCTCCAGTACAACGTAACTGTTACAACTTTCTAAAACTATCCAATCACTGAACGTCACTTTCGATCCCTTATTTGCATAACTATCTACAGTATCCCCCTGCTGGCCCAGGGTGAGAATTTCAGTACATAACAAATAGTGCCAAGGAGAGAGACAGGCAGTCCAAGGCAACACAAATCTTCACTGAATCCTGGTATTACTTATCACTTTAATGGAGTAATTTGTATCCCACTTAATACGGCAGTTTCGAGGCAGTAGAAACAGTCTACCTCTCCTGGTGCTTGCAAGGCGGTGTGCGTGCTGTGCATTTGCAGGTTTGCTGAACAAGTGCATCATATTGTTCTGAGTTTGTGGGTGCCAAGGTCCCCTAAATTCCTGGGCCCAATAGGTGCTAGAATTTAATCAAAGCTTGGGAGCTAGAATCGCAGAACCACAGAGTTGGAAAGAAACCCAACGGTCATCTGGTTCAAACCCCAGCTATGCAGGAATCTCAACTACCTCATCCATGGCAGATGGCCATCCAGCCTCTGCTTAAAAACCTCCAAGGAAGGAGAGAACACAACCTCCAGAGGGAGACTGTTCCACCGTCGTACAGCTCTTACTGTCAGAAAGCCCCCCCCCCCCGAAGTCTAGTTGGAATCTCCTTTCTTGTAATTTGAAGACATTGGTTTGAATCCTACACTGCAGAGAAAGCAAACTTGTTCCCTCCTCCATGTGACAGCCCTTGAGATATTTGAAGGTGGCTATCATTGTTAGAATTCCTGCCCCACGATTGCAGTCATGGGATTGTTGTCTATCACATGACGGTGTATGTTTTCATTCACACAGTGTGGGAAGTGACGGAGACAGGATGTTTGTGTTACTGTGTTCCGTGAAGTGGGACTATTGTCCTTTTTCTTTCTCTTTGCTGTCTGATGCTAGAGAGAGAGGGAGCCATGTTGCAGTGCCCCATGTGTAAATAAAGTAGATTAGCCAAAATGCTGAGTTGCTGAGGTCTGTTACGCAAACTGCGAAGACTCTGCGGATCCTTAAGTGTGACGATGTCTGTTGGCTGCGACGTTCGGGCTGAAGAAAGCTTTTGAAGCTCCCAAACGATCGGCCAGGAGGGAGAGAACATGCCAGTCGGGCATGTGTCTCTGCCAGGGTCCTACTCGAGAGTAGGACGAGCTCATGGCAATCATATCTCCTCTCAGTCTCCTCTTTTCCAGGCTAAACATACCCAGCTCCTTCAACCGTTCCTCATAAGGCTTGGTTTCCAGACCCTTGATCGTCTTGGTTGCCCTCCTTTGCACACGTTCCAGCTTGTCAACATCCTTCTTAAATTGTGGTGCCCAGAATTGGACACGCTCCTAACCCTTCTAAACGACATCCCATTTACATTCGTTTTCTATATCTCATTGCATCATGAGAACACTTCAAATAAAAATATTAACTGTGATTTCCTTCCTCGCCACACCTGTTGTAAGAACCCTGGATGGATCAGGCCCTGGACCACCCCACCTGCTCCCACATCATACCTGTAGCGTTCAAAGCCACGCGAACACGCACACAGGTCTGGCGCTTGCGGAACAGCTGAACTGGGCTTAGGCTAAGGCTGGGCACACGCAGGAATAGGTCTTCCTGCAGCTTCCGCTGGCATCGCAATCTGGACCGAGGCAGGGCACCATACGCTGTAGAAAAGAACAATAATGCAATTATGGGATAATGCTGGAGAAGCATCTTGGAACAACCAGCCAAGAGGAATGATGTGTGGGCAGCCCAGTATAAATCCACCATTAATGCACTGTTATTCTATTCATGACATATTGCAGAATGCACAGCTGTTAGGTAAAGGTAAAGGGACCCCTGACCATTAGGTCCAGTCGTGAGCGACTCTGGGGTTGCAGCGCTCATCTCGCTTTATTGGCCAAGGGAGCCGGTGTACAGCTTCTGGGTCATGTGGCCAGCATGACTAAGCCGCTTCTGGCGAACCAGAGCAGTGCATGGAAACACCGTTTACCTTTCTGCCGGAGTGGTACCTATTTATCTACTTGCACTTTGATGTGCTTTCGAACTGCTAGGTTGGCAGGAGCAGGGACCAAGCAACGGGAGCTCACCCGGTCACGGGGATTCGAACCGCCAACCTTCTGATCGGCAAGTCCTAGGCTCTGTGGTTTAACCCACAGCGCAAACTTTATGTTTTAAATTGTGGTTGCAAACTTTTCAGAGATAATTTTATTGCTTTACCTTTTTTGGTAAACCACATTAAGGTTTTTACCCCCCAAGCAATCAAGTGGTATATAACTTTTACGAGACTGATTAATCAATCAAATGCTCATTGTCATATAACCACCGTGCAAACATATCAGAATGAATTCTCAGCAAAGACAGGATGTAATCTAACCCCTGTACAAACAAGTTGCCGGAGGGACCCTTTGTTATATTCTGCAATACAAGGACCCTTCCTGCACTCCAGGCCAAGCAACATCCTAGAGTTTAGGAGTTCCAAAATCTTTTCTCTTCAATGTCCACTCCAAAATGCCCATGGTTCCTTGCTGCAGTCACAGTTGCCACACAAGCAGCAGTACAGGAGCGCTTATTTTCTTACTTACCAGTAGCATTCCAGCATTCCTGGAAAAAAGAAACAAGAGAGAAAGAAAACCTCAGTGGGGTAAAGTGGAATCAATATCTCTCCCTGCAATCCTAAGGCAGAAGCATATTTGCCGGAAGCAAAACAGACAGGCAGGGTCCACAAATGTTTGCTAGTCCAAGGAAGCTGAGAGGTAAAGAAAGTACAGTGGAACTTCGGTTTTCGAGCATCTCGCAAGCTGAATGTTTTGGAACTCGAATGTCGAAAACCCAGAAGTAATTGTTTCTGTTTTCAAACACGCCTCAGAAATCGAAGGCCTTCCAAGGCACGTTTCTCATTTTCTCAATTAAAATTGTCAACGGCCCTTTGCACCTCAGTTTCGGAAATCGAACGGTCTTCCGGAACGGATTACATTTGACAGCCGAAGTTCCACTGCAGTTCTTCACACAACATGCATTTCATTTATAAAGATCTCACAGGTCTGGTTCACGCATCACACTAAGCCACAATATAATGAATACAGTGGTACCTCGGGTTACATATGCTTCAGGTTACAAATGCTTCAGGTTACAGACTCTGCTAACCCAGAAATAGTACTTCAGGTTAAGAACTTTGCTTCAGGATAAGAACAGAAATCGGGCTCCGGCGGCGCGGCGGCAGCAGGAGGCCCCATTAGCTAAAGTGGTGCTTCAGGTTAAGAACAGTTTCAGGTTAAGAACAGACCTCCGGAACAAATTAAGTACTTAACCTGAAGGCCACTGTATATGGCTTTCAGTGACCTTGTGAATGTGCTGGTGCCCAGTGAGATAGCACTTTGATTAATGAAACGATATGTCCTTTGAAATGTGTTTGTGGGAAGGGGGGGTATTGTTTTGTTTGCGTTCTTTTTTATTATGTACTTTGTGGTTTTATTTTGTAATTTTATGCTGTGAACCACCCTGAGATCTTCGGATGAAAATTCAATAATCAAAACAAAACTCACTTTGCTACTGCTACTTCCCAGCAGGGCTACCAGCTTGAATAAAATGGGGGGGGGGCAGATAAACCCTACCCTGCATAACTGATCACAAGATGTGGCACACACGCCATTTGAATGGCAATGCCCATCAACTTGGGGGTGGGCCTCTCAAATATTTTATTGGGGGGGGGGCAAAGGGACCTTGGCTCCTAAGCTCCCCAGGCGCTTTAGTTCAGCAACGAAACCAAGACACTTCACCCCCCCCCAAAAATGTGGGAACTGTAGTTTTCTTCTCACGGACCTACAGTTCCCAGCATTTGTGGGAAGGGATGCTGTAAATGTGCGCACAGCCCAGGCCTATGTGTTTCAATGCCTGACTAAAGCTCTGCCTAGTAAAAAAAATTTACTGGCTGAACTGGAACAGCAAACGCCCCCCTCCTCCCGTGAAAGTCAAGATGTGGCATACCCAAGGTATTTTGGCACGTGAGGCAAAAGTGAGCATTAAAAAAACCAACCCAATGCCTCTCATAATTTGCTGCCTTTTGTGATCTTCAAAAGCCGCTGCCTGAGGCAGTTGCCTCACTCTGCTTAATGGCAGAGCCGGCCTTGAAAAAAACAGTGAGTCCACGGAAGCTACTAGTTCACCCACCCACCCACCCAATCCAATCTTAAGTCACTTGTGGCTTGGAAGGCGGGGTTGAATAAGCCACAAATTTTAACACTTCTCTGTCTAGTCACCCACAAGTGATGGTTATCACAGGAAAGTGACAATTTACAAGCTGCTTCCGCTTCGGGATACTTATTATGCCCCAACAGATGTGGTTTTCTCCATGTGTATGAGGGTGATCTCTCTCACACTATCTATCTATATCTATCATCTATCTATCTATCTATCTATCTATCTATCTATCTATCTAATCTATCATCTATCTATCTATCTATCTATCTATCTATCTATCATCTATCTATCTATCTATCTATCTATCTATCTATCTATCATCTATCTATCATCTATCTATCTATCTATCTATCATCTATCTATCATCTATCTATCTATTTATCTATCTATCTATCTGTCTGTCTATCTATCTATCTATCTATCTACACACACACACACACACACACACACACACACACACACAATGTTGGGGGGGGAGGAAGAGGAAGAGAGGGAGCTCTGATTGTGTAACACCTCACACCTCAGCGATAATAAATCACTGGCAAATAGGCGGCCATGCGCTACCGCTGAAATGTTACCCAATCAGATATGTGCCCCTGCGGATGAGAGTGGGGTGCCGTGAGTTTAAATTGAAATGTACTCAGAATTCCGTTCCGGCACCTCTCAGGTGGGCGCCGTTGCCATTGTAAGAGAACAATGGAGGTGTTCCTGGCGAGTTCCGGCACCTCTTTTTCTAGAAAAATAGCACTGTATACCCCCTCTTCCTGAATCATCTGTGAGACTGCTATTTAGTCCTGTAGCAGGCCCAAACCAAGAGGCCACTGTTAACTGCAGGGAAACCGGCATACAAGGGGAGGCAAACCATCTCAGAGCGATGTATAACTGGCAGGAAAAACGATGAGTACGAAATGATGGCTTAAAACATCCCCAATTAGAACTGAAGGCTGTCGCATGTTAAGGGCTCTGTATCACTGGAAAGGGTAAACATAAGAAATGAGCCAGTTCCTTCGCACAAAAGTTTGTGAGAAGGAGGGAGGCATGTATTCATGATCTGAATAATCCCTAGTCTACCATAATGTGAAACGCTAATAATTCGAGTGAGTGAGTGAGTGAGTGTGTTAAGGCATTTAAGGAATTTTTTTTTGTAGGTGGGTTTCCCCCCCCCCATTTTTTTATTAAGGCATGGGGTTTGTGGGTGGAATTCGACTAAGTTTTACTCAGACCCACTGAAATGAATGAGCAAGACTACGTAAGGTCCGTCCATTTTAATGGCTCTACTCTGATTGATACGTGTTTAATCTTCCCTTAAAGCCATCTAAGTTGGTGGCTATCAGCTCTTCACATCTCGTAGGAAGGAGTTTCGTAGCTTCACCATGTGAAGAAACACTTCCTTTCATCTCTTCCGAATCTTCCTTTTCTGAAACGTCTTCAGTCTTACAATATCCTTTTTGAGGTGAGGCAACCAGAACGGTACACGCGTTGGCAGCATTATGATACTGGCGGTTTTATTTTCAGTCCCTTTCCTAAACAACCCCTAGCACAGCATTCGCTTTTTTCGCACCAGCTGCACACATTTATCTTAGCAAGACGGGAATCGCTAAGGCCGCACTACGCACATTTAAAGCTCATGACTTCCCCTAAAGAATCCTGGGAACTGTAGTTTGTGAAGGGTGCTGCTAACTGTAGCTCTTTGAGGGGTAAACTACAGTTTCTGCGATTATTTATGGAGGGGAGGGGAAGCAATGCATAACTCGGTCGGTAGAGCATGAAGCTCTTAATCTCAGCGTCGTGAGTTTGAGCCCACATTGGGCAAAAAAACCTGCATTGCAGGGGGTTGGACTAGATGCCCCACACGGTCCCTTCCAACTGTACAATTCTGTGATTCTGTGAAATATAAAGGGTGGTAGCCAACTAATGGCTTATCCACACTTTGCTTGTCCCACACCCAGAAATCACAGGTCTGAGAGGTTTTCTGCTTGTTCTGTGCTTTCTAGGCAGATTTTTGTTTGCCATGCAGTTTTCCCCAGGAAAACATGCTCTTTACTGCTGAACTGGAACAAACAGCAATCCATAGAAAGCCCCATTGGAGTTTGGACTGATTCAGCAATAAACTGAGGGTTTTCTCAGGGGAAAGCGGCGGGCCAAGCACAAGTGTGGAAAAGCCCTGGGTTTTACTCAAAGTAGACCCACTGACATTAGTTAACACCCATCATAAAGAAAGAACATAAGGATCTATACATCCAATTGTTAACAGCTGCAAGGATGTTAATGGCTCAAAAGTGGAAAGGAATGGCTTTAGAAGTTCAGGATTTGGCTATAATGGCAAAAGCAACAAAGAGGAAGAATGGCAAGTGAATGTGGAAATAAATTATGGGGAAACTGGTTGTTCCTTATATGACCCCCCCCCCAAAAAATAAAATAACTACTTCCCATGGAAGAAAATTCAAGGAGGTCTGGAGGGTTTCTTAGAGGAGAATTTTATGTTAAGGTGTATTTTCTTGCAGAATATTATGATCCGGAGCCATTTTATTTCCTAGAGCAGATTTGTTGATTTTCCTGAACGACTGTCGGATGATTACATAAATTTGAAAAATAAAAGGAAAGGAAAGAAAGAAATCGCCGTGACTTATGTCACGTCCATCGATTTGAACTGTGAGGGAAACTTAGCTGAATACTCCCTGTTGTGTGTATAACGGGGGCGGGGGGGGCGGCGAGAAAAAACAACCAGAGAGCAAAGAGCAGGGCGACTGTCAGATTCTTCTGACAGTCCTCCGCTGTAGGGCCCCTATCCTGCACTTCCACCACGGACAGCCCTCGCTTCAGTTGCTCTGCGGGGCACTGCAACCCTGCCTTGCTGTCACAATCGTTAACGGACTATGAACCACATTCCTGACAATACTAAGCGCACTGCCTCTTTTCCAGTTCCCTGGCGGATCACATTTGCAGATACATCGTGCCACAGCATTCTCTCTCCTCACGCTTCCCCCAAACCCCCAAAGACATCCATATAAAGAAGGAGAGGAAGCAAGAAGGACATTCTCCTGTCACCCGCATTAAAACAACAAACAAGAAAGAAGCCTGGGCAACTCTTGGCTTCAGAGAGCGCAAGGAACAGCCAGGCACTCAGAAGGGTGCCCAGCTTTATCCCATGTCCCTCTTTCCCATCAACCGATAAAGGATCGGCGCTCAAATTTTGGGGTTGCCCTGCGTCTTCAGTGTCTGAGGTCTGCAACATCCACTGCCCACCCCTTGCCCCCAAAACAATATCATTGCACCCATAAAAATAAAAACATGCTTACGAAGTTGGTGAGGAGCTGTCGGCGGGCAAGAGGCAGGTAAGTTCGGGGTGCAGCATGCAAGAGGCTCAGGAAGAAGGCGATGGGCAGCAGCAGGGCACTCGTCGTGGGCCTCCCCATGGAGTGCCGGGCTGGAGCTCAGCTAGGCCGGAACATGGCTGTTGTTAAACAGTCGAAGAGTCAGATCTCAGCACTCCTAGGCCAGGCAGCCGCAGGCAAGTCTCCACCCCTCAGTCTCTCCGTTCCCTGCTCTGCCTTGCCCCAACCTAGCCAGTCTGGCCTGCCTGCATTCCTTGGCGGCTGCTGCTGCTGCAGCTGTTCCAGCAGGGGCTGGGTGTTGTTGGGACAGCCTGCGAAGCCCCACAACTCAGAGGGGTTCCGTTTCCCCTTCTGCCCCCATGTCATTGCAGGGTTCTCTGAGAGGCGGCACACAGCCCAGCTTGGCTTAATCATTTCTAGCCCTGGCTCAGGGGTTAAAGGGCAACCAGGACATGGGCGTAAACAAGGGGGGAGCAGGGAGGGGCAGCTGCTCCCCAAGCAATAAAAATACTGTATTTTTTGCTCTATAAGACTCACTTTTTCCCTCCTAAAAAGTAAGGGGAAACGTGTGTGCGTCTTATGGAGCGAATGCAGGCTGCACAGCTATCCGAGAAACCAGAACAGCAAGAGGGATTGCTGCTTTCATTGTGCAGTGATCCCTCTTGCTGTTCTGGCTTCTGAGATTCAGATATTTTTTTTTCTTGTTTTCCTCCTCCAAAAACTAGGTGCGTCTTGTGGTCTGGTGCGTCTTATAGAGCGAAAAATACGGTACATAGCAAACGGAGGTTCTGCCCCAGCCCCACAACAAAAGGCCACACCCCCTAACAAAAATCCTGTCTACACCGGTGAACCAGGACCTATGAATCCACTGAGAGGACTCTCCCCATGTAAACTTTTACAGCGCTAAAGCCCACCCTACGCTCCAGGCTCACGCTCAGGAGCAAAGCTTCATTCATTCCTTACAACAACCCTGCAGAGTATGCCACTATCACTCTTTGTTTTATGGAAGTGAGGATGAGGGAATGCGGCTGATCATAAAGTAGAGCTTTCCAAACTTTCTATGTTGGTGACACACTTTTTAGACGCGCAGCATTGCATGACACAATAATTCAGTTTTACTGACAAACCAGAGGTGTAAACTAACCCCTTTCTAGCCCTGTGAGGAGCGTGGGGAGCGTTCGCACGGCACATCTGCACACACGACACACAAATGTGTCACGACAGAGTAAGGAAGGTTTTGTGGTACAGTGTCATGTGGGGTCTGAATGTCCCTGCCTAATGCTTCGATCTCTGTGACGTGAGCTATTAAAAAGATAAAGAGTGTCACCTGGTTGCCTATGCAATGCAAGGACCCTGCAAGATCAGGAACAGTTGGGCTGCTTGTGCTGCCTTGCTTCTTCTGCGATTGCGAACAGGTGCAAAGAAACGGTCCTGAAGTTCGTTGGTAGTTCCCAGTTCTCTTATCTGCATGGAGGTTCGAAAGACAGATCAATCAGAGAGCCGTCAGCATCACACACATATGAAAAGTTCTGACTGGAGGAAGTTACTGTTGTTCTCATAGAATCATAGAGTTGGAATAGACCACAAGGGCCATCGAGTCCAACCCCCTGCCAAGCAGGAAACACCATCAGAGCACTCCTGACATATGGTTGTCAAGCCTCTGCTTAAAGACCTCCAAAGAAGGAGACTCCACCACACTCCTTGGCAGCAAATTCCACTGCCGAACAGCTCTTACTGTCAGGAAGTTCTTCCTAATGTTTAGGTGGAATCTTCTTTCTTGTAGTTTGGATCCATTGCTCCGTGTCCGCTTCTCTGGAGCAGCAGAAAACAACCTTTCTCCCTCCTCTATGTGACATCCTTTTATATATTTGAACATGGCTATCATATTACCCCTTAACCTCCTCTTCTCCAGGCTAAACATGCCCAGCTCCCTTAGCCGTTCCTCATAAGGCATCGTTTCCAGGCCTTTGACCATTTTGGTTGCCCTCCTCTGGACACGTTCCAGTTTGTCAGTGTCCTTCTTGAAGAACAGTGTCCTTCTCGAAGGGGACATTGCTTATACAGTGGTACCTCGGGTTAAGTAATTAATTCGTTCATAACCTGAAACTGTTCTTAACCTGAAGCACCACTTTAGCTAATGGGGCCTCCTGCTGCCGCCGAGTCGCCGGAGCACCATTTCTGTTCTCATCCTGAAGCAAATTTCTTAACCCGAGGTAATATTTCTGGGTTAGCGGAGTCTGTAACCTGAAGCGTATGTAACCCGAGGTACCACTGTATTGAAGGACAGGCGCCTAATGTTTACTTTAGGAATTCAGGGACATAAAAACTTTACTGTTTTTTATTGTGCTATATTTCATGTTTTTGTGCAAATAAGGGACTGGAAATTTGGAACTAGTAACCAACTTTAGCGCTTTTACAAATAAAGTGAGCTAAAGATGCTTTTGGGGGAGTGAATTTTTTCGGTCAACCACCAGAAAATTGGCACTGTAATAGGGAGTGACCATATTGTGTGGGGGTTCTGTTCCTGACCCCTGCACATGTCTCATAAGCCAAGCCAAGCCCATTATGGCCTGCCCCCATTATGCCCTCTTCTGGGTCCAAAATGACCCACACTTTGGTGGTCACACAAAATTGGACACAAGCAAAATGGTCACCGCCTGTACTTCACAAAGCACTTCAATTCATTACCAGTGGTTAGGATGAAGAGTATTCTGCTTTTTGTACGTTAGAAACCCAAGCTGCATGCAAACTGTACCTTTAAAGTACGGTATATTCAAAACACATTTCCCCTCAAAGAATTCTGGGCACTGTAGTTTCTTAAGGGTTGCTGGCATTCTAACTCTGTGAAAGGTAAACTACAGTGCCCAGAATTCTTTGAGGGCGAGAATGTGCTTCGAATGTGCTTTAAAGGCATAGTGTGCAAACAGTATTTAACTGGAGTGAAAAATTGCTAATACAAACTGAAATTGAAGCTGAAAACAGGGAGGATGAAGGAGGGGGAGATATGCTGCCAAGATAAGAGAGGTGATGGCAAAGAAGGAAGGGAGATGAGGAAAGAGGGGAGAGGGCTTCATTTCAGATCAGCTCTTTCTCTCTCTCTCCAGATATTGGAGCAGCTTGCTTTGAATGGGAATTCTTCCTGCAGATATATTTCTTCAAAGTCATGTTTCTTAATTCTCCCTGTGAAAGCTTGGAGCCTGCAAACTACCACTCAGATCTTCTCCAACCTTTGTTCATCTTGTCAGCCATCATCCTTCTTAGATAACTGCCCCCCACGTGTTCTCCCCTCCCCGACTACCTCCTCCTAAAGCCCATTCTCAAAAGAAAAGCATCAACAGAAACCCAAAAAATTGTATGTTGGAGCCACCGCAAAGCTTCCTTTGCAATACACACACCTTGTTTGTTGAGCTTTCCTGCCGGAGCGACTCCTGTCACATCCAAACCGTACATTCAAAGCACAAATTCCTACAAAAATTCCCGGGGGAGCATGATTTAACCCTCACAGAGCTACAATTCCCAGCACCCATTACAAGCTACAGTTCCCAGGATTCTTGGAAGAAAGCTCTGAACTTTACATGTATGGTGTGGGTGGTGTTGGAGAGTTTATCCTTCCGTGGTTGCAAACCTATCAAGGCATACCTCCCAAGTCACCAGAGATCCTTCTTTAAGGCTTCAAGGTCAGCACTGCTCCTTCTCTCTCTCTCTCTCTCTTTCTCTCTCTCTCTCTCTTTATAATGCTTTCATTTATTTTTCACGGTACGGAAGATACAGATTGAGAAAGCCATTGTTACGACAGTAAGCAACAAATAACCCGCCCCGATTAAATGACAGACTTTTGTCACGCTCGGTAATGAAGTGTCACTGGATTACTCTAAGGTCACAGCACATTTTCCCACGAGTGGATTCCTGCCACAGACTGAACCATTTATGTACTCAACTAACATTCGAAGTTGAGTTTCCCCCAGTAGCGAAACAGAGAAGTGTTTCCAAAAAGTGGATGCCTGTGTCCAGTGCCGGATTTACGTATAAGCTAAACAAGCTATAGCTTAGGGCCCCACTCTCTTGAGGCCCCCCCCCAAAAAAAGTAAAAGAAAAAGAAAACTGGATGTACATTTCTAAAATATATAAGATAAATAAGAAATAAAATAAAACCTACATACAGCAGCAGTGTTTTGTGTTGTGTAGGCTCCTAGGATGAAAGTCATGGCCCCCGCCTGCTAGCCTGCTCCCTAAAATATCACTAGTTTGCTCATTTCTAGATATAGGGTGCCTACATTCTGCATGTGCAAATGGCTTTAGATACCTATTAGATCCATAAATTACCATATAGCATATATTCTTTTTTATTATTCTTTTTTTGAATATTTTATTAGTTGAATATAAGAATAACATATAATCAAATACAAGCAATAAAATAGAGTTTTCCTCCAATGCCCCCCCCAAAACAGCCCCAACTACGTCCAGGTAATTACATTAGTAATATAAGCAAATGAAAAATTATTTCTACAGTTGCTGGTTTAAAAAATATCATTCCACATGCTCCCATGTGTCTCAGGTGGTTTAAATTCATGTTCTTTCTTTGATGCATATGTAATAAAGAAGGACCACGTTATGTAAAAGTTATGTAGTTTCTCATGTTGTTTTCTTTCATGTACCCTTTCTGTTAACTTTTCCATCAAAATTAATTCCCAGACATAAGCATACCAAACTTCATATACGTTTACGTTTAATTTCTTCCAGTGTCTAGCAACAGCAAGACATGCTGCAGTTAGAAGATGCACAATTAAGTCTTTGTCTCTAAGATTTTGTGCTTCATCTGCAAATATAGAAAGCAATGCTATTTTGGGATCTAAATTGATCGACTGAGATGTAATTTGTTCCATTTCCTGAAATATTTTTAACTAGAAGTTTTTAATCAATGGGCATTTCTACCACATGTGTATAAATGTTCCTTCATTTCCACAATTTCTCCAGCATTGTGGAGAAATATTTTTGTCTATTTTGCTTAGCAATGTGGGATGCAAGTACCATCTGTGGGTTAGCTTTAAGGTGTTTTCTCTTATTTGGGCAGAAATAGCTCAAAAGGGGGCTTTTTGCCACATTCCTTCCCACAAACCATCATCAATCCCTTCTCCCAAGTCTCTTTCCCATCTAGTCTTTGAGATACAGCATATATTCAACACAAAAAACAGCGATAATTTGTTGTTGACAAAGGACAGCTGGAGGGTCCCATTACCTTCAGTAGCTTAGGGCCTCATCGAACCTAAATCCGGCCCTGCCTGTGTCAATGTGCACAAGCAGGCACATGTGTGGAATACTGCTCTCCCACAGCACCACCACAAGCCTGCCCAGCACTATATACCAAGGAGAGCTCCACTGGGTGACCTCCAACTACAACCCCCAATATTATTGACCACTGGCCATGCTGGCTGGGACTGATGGGAGCCGGGAGCCCACAGCATCCACAGGTTCCCACGCCGACTACCACAAGTGCAACGCTGCAAAGAGAGTGAAGGCGTCTGACCGCATCCAGGATTTTAGGTGTCACAGAGTTGCATCTTCCTGGGGGAGAAGGGTGGCAGTCCTACAGCAGGTGGAAGCAAGCTCAAACGAAAGGGAGAGCTTTTCAGGGGAGCAAGTTTGAAGGCCTTTCTGCTTAGTCCTAGCCACCTTAGAACATGCGATGTCCCACCAAAGGGACTTGAACTTACCTACCTCGGCCGACTCCCCGTCAGAGCGAATTCCCCTCCTCGCATCTCTTTCAGACAGCTACTGCACAGTCATCCCTTCCTTGCTTCTCTGCCCCGTCCCCACCCACAGGTTTTTTATTTTGTGTGTGGGGTTTTTAAAAAATATTCTAAATGAAGAATTGAAGTTGGGAAATGGGGACATGCTACAGGGTGACCTGGTTTAGCTGAGGTTTCCTGTTGGGCTGACTCTACAGGTAATGAGGACGCTCAACAGCAACTCATCAGCCGATGTGGTGAAAGGAAGCACGAGCAGAAACACTGGGTGAGAGAGAGGGTGGGGAGAGGCAGAGAGAGAGAGAGAGAGAGAGAGAGAGAGAGAGAGAGAGAGAGCTTCTTCCATTGAGGGCATGTCAAGCAGCCAGCCATTCTGGCCTGGCTCTGCCACACCTGTGCTGCTCTGATCAAACATCAACATGTGGATCTTGGCTACCTCCCAAGGGCACAAATACACATTGATTAGAATGAGCAGCAGGAAGCCCTGTAGGTTACGTAGATCAGGCCAGGAAACCTGGTTTTTTTCACCCAGCTTGGGCAAGGTCCCATCGGCCCAAAACTCTAGTGTTTACATTTCAGAAACAAGAGAGTTCAGAACAGCCTGGAAGTCATGTCCTTTCTCCATTATCTAGGATGCCTGTCTGTCCCACGTGACAACACTTTGCATGCATAGTATTCAAAACACCTACAATGATCTCAAGAGATTCACAGCAGACCTGG